AGTGTGTGCGCTTCACACACACTGCGTTTCACCTATATGGAAAGATTCGCCGCTCTACTAGATAGAGCAACATGCTACCTACGCTCATTACTCACCAGCATTTATCTCTGGACCGCCATACACTGGTGGTGCCATGTAGGAGGACGGAATGATGTTGTGTCGGCAGCACTCATCCTCACCGCAAACTTAATTACTGGACTCACACTTCTCTTCGTCGAAGATCGACGCACCACTAATTCATACGCCGACATACTCGCCATCAATCACTACTATCACAACACCTCACAACAAACTGTCAAATTACTCACTGCTAAATTACCCCCTCATTACGACCGACAAGGGCAGGCCAATAAGGGTGGGGAAAGTCCACACTGTTGCGAAAGTCCACACTGTGGGGAAAGTCCACACTGTGGGGAAAGTCCACACTGTGGGGAAAGTCCACACTGTTGCGAAAGTCCACACTGTTGCGAAAGTCCACACTGTTGCGAAAGTCCACACCGAGGGTTGTGTGACATTTCTAACTTGTCACAAGCACACAAAACACACACCGTGGTCTTTGTCAGTCCCGAAACGGATCGCGAATTGGTTGTCGACAGTCTGGCGCCACCGGCCGCGACCCCGGGTCCAAGACATGTAACAATCAAACCTCTACGTGCGGTCAATAATTACATACGGAACATCTTAACCAATGAGGGCCCAGTTAACCTCTGCTGGTTCGAATCCGGCAGACATGATGCCGCACGTGTACGTCGTACCGGGTCGGTCGCAAACGCGCTCCGGGCACACAGACGACGACGACGACGCATGCGCGACCTCGAAGTCATCAACCCCTTCACCGAACACACTCTCTCTTTCGAACCTGCTACCACCGCCATGACTCCCATAAGGCAACCCACCATGGGGACGGCCACCGTGGCGGGAGAGGCCACCACACTAGTGGGAGAGGCCACCACCGTGGCGGGAGAGGCCACCACACTAGTGGGAGGGACGACCCATGACGGGATAGAGGCCGATGTGCCCGTGGCTGCTGCGAGCAATGGGCACCCAGGAATGGAGGGGAATGGGTCGAGAGCAGGCGGCTTGAGAGGAACTGATTTGGGCCCTGATGGGCAAGGGGAAGGGGAACGAAATGGCGAGGGGGATAGTGGAGAAACGGAGCTAAGTTCCTTTGTCGTTACTGACCTGTCTGCGATGTTGTCGGACCTGGATAGTGTTTCTGAAACCCTGCCACCTGGCAGTCACTCATTAACGTTCTGGGCGATTTAAGTCCGGTCGTGCCCGGCTTGAAGCATTTTTTCGGGTCAGTGATGCATAACCTGAATGCTCTTAATGCAGCCTTGAGTAAGCTCCCCTCCCCTCCCCCACCTCTCCCAGTTCCCTTCTACCCTGCCATATAACTCACCTTGTAGATGTCGTCAAAAACCAACTGGTTGTTGTCTGTAATGAGCTAAACACAATACCCGGGGTAGATGCCGTCGCCCTGGCCAAACTTGTGAATTGTAAAGACGGAATAATTGCCGGTATTGATGAAGCATATGGAAAGCTCACGTCCCAGGAAATGGATTCGTCGTCCAGAGGAAAAAGAGGGGGCGCTTCACTCGAGGCCCAAAGATTGGATTACCTAGGCCAATTGGAAATCATAAAGCAGATAATGAACAATGATATTAGCAATGTAACATCACAGCCTGAGGATCATGCATGGGGTCATTGATGCGGGTTCTTCATCAACCAGTTATGGGACAAGAAAAAAGACCGTTCACTCATGGGCTGTAGCGGAGGTCCCTTCCTTATCGGGGTCTTCCTTACCGGGGTCTTCCTTACCGGGGTCTTCCTTACCGGGGTCTTGCTTACCGGCGTGTTTGGAGGCCTCCTGTTATTTGTGTGGTGTGGGTTGTGTAAAAAGTACACACGTTTGTGTTTCCACACATGTTTCCATACATGTTTCCACACATGTTTGGGTGTTCATGTATTCTTTATTTTTAGTACTTGAAGAGTGCTGCCGATATGGTTGGAGAAGGTCATTGGGACCTTGAGCAATATTTGGTGGAATTCGGCGTAAAAAATGAGTCGTAATGAAATTGCTGTGGGAGTGGGTGATTTTGGAACCTTTTGTTTGGCTCATTTCGTCAACACGTTGGATGAGGTGAGTCGTCGAGTGGACCGTCTGGTGGAGGAGTCTGAGTTTATCTACCCGTGGTATCATCAGTCTCAAGGTGCGGACGTGCCCAACGTTTTATTTGTGGACGAGACGAGTAGATTGCAAGCGCCCAAGCGGACGGAACAGAGCGCGACGACGGAAGCTAGCGCGACGAAGGAAGCTAGCGCGACGAAGGAAGCTAGCGCGACGAAGGAAGCTAGCGCGACGAAGGAAGCTAGCGCTATTAATATGGCGCAGAACAAAGGGGATGAAGAGCAGACTTTGGAAACGTCGAGTATGTATCCAACAATACATCCGTACCAACGGTGGTTATCCGAGGGGGCTACAAGCGTGCCGCCTACGGGGTTGAATCGAAGTTGTGCTAGGATAAGTGACATGTTGGATGATCAGCACAATTTGTTGATGACGCGTGTGTCAGCTGTAAGTGCGGCAGTGGATGTTTTAGAGGATGATTTGCGACGTTTGTTAGAGAAGCAAGATGCGCTAAAGTATATCGCTATGTGTATGGATACCCCACGTGTGAAAAATTCACACAATTATATAGATGACAATCTCAGTCTGCCCTCACCTCTTCCGTTTCTTCTTGATGAGTGCGGGTCCACCCCAATGGCCGTCGTCGCTGGCTGGGGACTCGAGTCGGAACAAGTTGGACAAGACGCTGCCGCCGCCCGATTCGCACTTCAGTCCCTCTCCACCTTGCTGGAACACACCATCGAACTCACTCGAGGAAGAAATGCCAAACTTGTCATACCCTGCTTCCAGTCACCCCTCATCCCCTATCCCAATCTCGCCGCCACCCCGCTTGAGACTACCAGACCGGATGTTGTAGACGGGGCCACCTTGTCTGGGGGGGCCACCTTGTCTGGAGCCACCTTGTCTGGAGCCACCTTGTCTGGTTGCACACCATCTACACATACATTGGACCTAAATACAAACTACGACAAGACGTTCGTAAGCTCGCTCCTGATGAACGCCCTCTGTCGAGACGTGCGAGCCACCACTGCTCACTGGGCCCGACTGACCACGTCCTTCTGTCCGTTGGTGTCTGCGGCACTTCAGCTAGCCGGCAGCTCGACCGCCGCGAATAAAAACTCTTGTCGTGGCGCGACCCCGAACTCGAGGACCGAAGAGAGGAGTGCCGAAGAGAGGAGTGCCGAAGAGAGGACTACGTTGCCGCGAGTGGTGTATGAGTATGACGTGTCGAGTCTTGCTTACAATGCCAGCGCTACCGTCTGCGCGCCGATGACAGGGTTGAGTTACTGCCTAAGTGTGGGGGGACTGCAGGTACCTGCCAAGAAACGTGAAGAAGGATTGAAGATCGACATTGCGCCATCTTT